TCGGGGGGCCGCCGGATCCTGTACGGAGGCGCGGTGTCGGCGAGCCTGTTCGCCACGCGATCGGTGATAGCAGGCTGCAGCGCGGCGACGACGTTGGCCAAGCTCCTCTTGCTGGGCCCCCTCCGCGCCACGCTGTCCAACAGGCCCCAGCTGGCCCTGCGCAACGTCGTGGACGACGTGGAGCTCCAGGCGCTGGGCAACGTAGCCATGGTCGACACGCAGATGGGACAGGGGGTGTCCCAGCTACTTCGGGAGATGCAGCATCTGGACTTACCCATCTCGCTCAAGAAGTGCAAGTACATGGCATCTTCGACCGAGCTCGCAGGCCGCCTCGGCCAGCAATGGCCGTTCCCGAGCCGCTGCCGCGTTCACCATGCGCGCAGCCTCGGCACAGACATCGTGGCACGGCCAATCAGGAGGGTCGGGACGACCCGGGGCCGGCAGCAGGCGGCGCGATGGAAGGGGCAGCGGCTGCGCGTGCTGCAGACAGGAGGGGGCAACATCGCCATGGCGCAGAGGATGGGGCCAACTGCGTGCGCCCTCTGGGGGGGCGCGGTGTTGGGCTTCAGCGACGCCCAGCTGCACGCTCTCCGGGTTGGCGCTGCTGCGGCCATGGGGCGGCTCCCTCGCGGAGCCTCCGTCGGTCTCCGCCTTCATTCACATCGCACCGGGCCACGGGTTGACCCCCTAGTCATCCACTCCGGCGACGTGGTCGGCACCTGGGCCGCGGCGATTTGGGACGGAATGCCGAAGCGGCAGATCTTGCAGACAGTATTGGCGAAGGCGCTGGGCAAGCTCGACCAAGCGAAGGCCCCCTGGAGGGTGGCCTCCTCGCCGGGGGACGTCGCGGTACTGGCGTTGCGCCGCCTCTGCTGGCAGTTCGAGGGCGCCGATCGCATGCGCACCGACGAGGGTGTTGTATTGGACCTCACCCGGATCCCGCCCATGCAGGTCCGCCGCCTGGCCGAGCGCGCCGCCGTCAGGGAGTCCGACAGGATGGCGCTCTCCACGACGGGGTCGAAGGCAGTGGCGTGGGAGGCGAGACCTGGAGCACCTGCCCGCCAGCCCCTCCCCGTGTTCTGGGAGGCGCTGCAGCGGATCTTGAGGTCGCCCGCCCCGGGCTGGAGCGCACGTCAGCAACGTGCATTCCGGGCTGCCTTATCCAACACTCTCTGGAGCCAGGCGCGCCTGGCAGGACATGGGCTGGTGGGCCATGGCCGCTGCCTTCGGTGTGGGATGAAAGGCACCCTCTGGCACAGGTGCTACGAGTGCGACGCTCTGGCGGTCTTGCGCCGGGACCTCACGAGCCAGCGGCTGCGGGATTGCGCGCGCCGAGCCTGGGAGTGGAGTGAGGAGGCAGGGGAACGCTTCGCTAGAGGGATCCTGCCCAGCCCCGCCCCGATGTTCCCGCACGCGGAGCCTCAGGAGCTCGTTCGCTGGGTCCGCCGCCCTGTGGATGGGCTACTCAAGGGGCGTCTCTTCACCGATGGCTCCCGGTCCCACGGCGACTTCCCGCACATGGCCCGCGCTGGATGGGCCATCTGCTCTGTGGACTGGGACGGCAGCCTCATTTCGGCGGCCTACGGGCCGTTGCCATTCTGGGCGTCGCAGGAGCAGGGGATCCGGGAGGCGGAGGATTACTGTATCTTCATGTTGTGCGAGCTCGCGATGCCCCCCTTCTCCCTGCACATCGATTGCCAGGGCACGGTTGACTGCATAGCTGCTGGTCCTGGCACGGGTGCGAACTCCAGCGACTTACGGCCGCACTTGTGGGGGCGCATCTGGGCGAGTTTCCAGGCTGACGACTTCAACGACGTTCACAAGGTGAAGGCGCACGCCACGGCCTCAGACGTGGATGCCGGACGGATCTCGTCAGCGGACAGGAAGGCCAACCTGCACGCCGACGCCCTCGCGAAGGAGGGTGCCAAGCTCCACGGGCTCAGCGAGGGCGACGTGGACCTATGGTGCGGGCTCCACGTCATTGCGGAGGAGGCTGGGCGCTGGAGCGGCCAGGCGCACGCTGCGGCCGCAGATGCGCCGGCGCCTGACGCGGACCACAGCGTCTTGGAGGGGCCAGGGGGCCACGGCGCGGCGCAGCCCACTGAGCTGGAAGCAGCTTCTGAGCCACCGCCCACCGCAGGCCCCAGACCTGCGCGCGGGCATGCCGCTGCCGTTTTAGAGCTCGATTGGCCACATGATTGGAGCAGTTATGACAGCTGTGCATTTCGAGTCGCAGGGCCTCGGATTGTCAAAACGACTGTCCAGCAGGCGCCCGAACGCGTTCTTTTCTTTTGCTTCAAATGTGGAGGGTGCCTCACAGGGGCCAGCCCAGGGAAAGTCCTGCGGGGGCCGTGCCTGGGAGCACGCGCTGGCCACGGAGCCAAGGAGCAGCTCCGACGGGTGACCAAACGTGAATCCCCCCACTACAGGGCAAACCGCAAACATTGGACGCTCGAGGTGCCAACCGCGCCCTCGCGCGAAGACGGCGTTCGTCTCGCGGCGCTCCTTGGGGACCAAGGGCAAGCCGGAAACCGAATCGGCCGCGGGGCAGCGGGGGCAGAGGCCGCCTGCGGCCACAATGCCAGCGGGCGCAACCTCCCGCGCCAACCGCCCACACGAGACTACATCTTGTCTTGTTTCGGGCTTCGTCGGGAGGACGAAGGCTGGGTTGCTGCGCTTGGGGCGCGCCGGCGCGAGGAGGGGATTCCTCCGTCGGATGCAGAATCTTTTGATTCAGGCTCTGAGGAGGGAGCTTTTTGAGGCATCTGGTTATTTCAAACTTTTTCTCTGGCCGTGGACGGCCCTGCCGAGGCGCATTCGTAGTTTTATTACGAAATCTGGAGTACACATATACCTGCTCCCGTGTATTTGGCGCAAGAGCGCCGACTTGTATCAGGTGGCGGGGAAGGTCTCCCAGGAGGCCCCAAACCGGGCAAACAGGGCTTAAGGGTAGCGGTATGGGGACCTTTCCCTCCTCCGACCAATCCTCGCCTCCGAGAAGTCGGCTACACGTAAGAGTGACCCTGGGTAAGAGTGACCTTTGGTGCGCGGCTTTTTGGGGGCCGCGGGGGGACCAAACACAGGCGCGCAAAGCGTTCCTATCGAATCGCGTTCGGCGATCGGGGAACCCCATTGTGCCCGCACCAAAGGTCACTCCGGCCAAAGGTCACTCGAGAGAAGGAGCAGGAGAAGAACGGCGACGAGACGCCCGGCGCGCATCCTGTGGCCCGGACATCCCCTCGCTCCCGATGGAAGCGCCCGGCCGGCGCCCGGCCGGCGCCCGCCAGGCGCTGACCCCGAGGGTGCGCCAGCAGCGGGGGGGCCCGAGGGCCCCGAGCTGTGAGAGGGGAGCGTCCAGGAGCAGGGCTTCGTCCTCCGTTTCCTCCTCCTCCTCCTCCTCCTCCTCCTCCGCCTCCTCATGCCCCTCATTCGTCCTCCTCTCGCTCCCCCCGGCTCTCTCTCTCCTCCCCCCCACCCCCGCGTCTTGGGTGCTTCCAAGATGGGAGGTCGCACATCGTGGCCCAAGGCACGGGCACGGACCAGCGGGGGGCCAGGGAGCGTATTGGATTGAAGAATGAAATCTGGGGAGACATCACTGCCCCCGCCAGGATATCCACCCCTCCGAGTCATCGTCCCGCGTCCCCTGGCCACACCAAAGAGGAGAGGAGAGGGTGACGACGAGCGGGAAAAGGAGGACGGGGCCCAGAGACCCGAGGCTCCAGAAAAATGTGAGCGGTCGGTGTTTGTACACCTCCAGCCTCTGGCGCGCCCGTGTTTCTCAGATGTTCTGACTCTGGGGGGATCCTGGATCGTCGGAGAGCGACGCATGATGAGCAAAAAGGCCATATAGGGAATGAGCAACGCGCGGGGAGTTCAAATCACTGGCTCTTCCTCACACCACGAAACTGGCCGAGAACTCTACGCAACCCGACGGGTGACGAAGAGGGGGCAAAGGAGGCGGTGGGGAGGGGAGGGGGAGAGTCTGGGGGGAGGAAGAGGAAAAGGGGAGGGGAGGAAAGGGAAGGGTAGGAGTGAGGGCGGGGACAGGGTGGAGGGGGGAGGGGAAGGGGGGCGAGGAGGAAGCAGGGTGGAGAGAGGAAGAAGCAGCAGGGAAGTTGGATGGGGGAGGGGAGGGCTCCTGGTACTGCTCATCAACATTCGGGGCATTCCCTCCTCGATTTCCCCCTTCTCCTCCGTCCTGCGGGGAATGGAAGAAGGAATCGAAGAGGGGATGGGGGACGGCTGGGACTGAGAGCATGGGAGCATAGAGGGGGAAGCGAAGGAAGGGGTTGAGAGTGGACACGGGACCAGGGGTCTTGGGCTGTCACTTCGACGAGACACTGTGCCAACAGAGCGGGGCAGCCGAACAGTAAGTACTCGAAGGAGGCGAGCGAAGACGATGACAAACGGAGACCACCATAAACAGGCGAAGAATGCTGTAGTGCTGGCAGGGCGCAGGACGGCATGACAACGTAAGCGTGACGCAGCCCTGCCGCGAGTGGCGGCGAAGCGCGGTGCGGGCGCAGAGCCGACTTGGAACTGCTAGGGGACGTCGACCGGACCTCGCCAGCGAAGGAGCAAGTTGATTGTACACCGTGCTCCTCTTCATTATCCTCCTCCTCCTCCTCCTCCTCCTCCTCCTCCTCCTATGCCCTGCCGTTCGTTCCTCGTCTTCCTCCTCCTCCTCCTCCTCAGTCCACCTCCGCCTCTTTCCCCCTCTCCCTCCTTTTCCTCGAACTCCTCCTCCTCCTCCTCCTCCTCCTCCTCCTCCTCCTCCCCCTCCTCCTCCTCCTCCTCCTCCTCCTCCTCCTCCCTCTCCTCCTCGTCCTCCTCCTTCTCCTCCTCCTCCTCCTCCTCCTCCTCCTCCTCCTCCTCCTCCTCCTCTCCCACTCCAGCCTCCGAGGCGGCAGGCGCGGGAGCGCACGCCGCGGCGCAGCGCCGCCGGTTTTGCAGCGCCGTGGCCGGTCGCGAAGGTCCGGCGCGCGCCGCGGAAAGGCCCGTCAGAGCTGGCGGCTGAGGACGACCCCGGGTATGACGCCCTGCGCGAAGAACGCGGGAGCTTGGACGCCAAGGGTCAGGGGCAACGACAGCGAGGGTGGATACGATGGGAGAGCTACCCACACTCCGACCGAGAGGGAGGAGGCGTGGGGCGGCTTACCAGGACCCCGGGTATGGCGCCCTGCGCTCGCGCGCTGGAGCTTTCGGGTCGGACGAAAAAGGGGGCGGTAGCAGAGGGGGGCTGGCGAATCCGCTCACTCCGCTGGTTTTCCAAGCGCCTCGCGGCGCCAGCACATCAAGGAAAGGCGCACGGCGGCGGCGACGGAGACAAGGTGCACGCAGCAGATTTCGCGACCTCCACTTTCCGGGTCCCCCCCTGCCTGCCAACCGACCCGACTGGAGTCCAATGGTCAAAGGCAACGATAGGGGGGGATATGATGGAAGAACAGCACGCGCTCAAACCTACAGGGAGGAGCAATCGAAAAAAGGGCAAGGCGATGAAACCGCTGCAGATATGGGGCGTGTGAATGTGGGACCCGAGGGGGGCTACCGTTCCGGCGGCAACCCCCATCCGACAACTACCCAAACCCGCACCCCCCCCCAACTCAGAACTCCACCCCGAGCAATCTCGGGGTCGCCAAAGTACGGGTGCCAGTTTCGGGGATGGACAGACCCCCCTTTAGTAAAACGTGGTTTAGCGAGAACGACCCGAGGCCCAAACCTGGCGGGCGCAAGCCTGGAAAATGACGGCCACGGCGCCCTCGCGAGAACCGAAAAAGGACAATTCAATCGACGTGTCATTGTTGGGGGTTCTGTCCACCCCCGATAGTCCCCCCCCCCACTGAGCAGACCTCTGCCGGCTACACGCAAGAGCGACCCTGGGTAAGAGTGACCTTCGTTGCGCGGCTTTTTGGAGGGCCGCGGAGGGGCCCACTACAAGCGCGCAAAAAGCGCCACCATCGCACCGCGCTCGGCGATCGGGGGACCCATCTGTGCCCGCACCAGAGGCCACTCCGGCGAAGGGTCACTCCTACGTGGAGCCGACCCTGGCTGGCTTTCGGGTCATCCCTCCGGCCTCTGGCGGCCACTCGGGCCGACCCGGGCACCCCCGGAACGCTCGCGGCGAGGCGCAGCCGCTCTGGGGCATTCCGACGCTGGAACACCGCCGAGAACCAACGAAGACGGCCGAGCACCTCGAACCTCGAACTTCGAACCTTCGATCAGTCTTGGGTCGGGCATGTCCCCCTACAGACGGATCTTGGGCGAAAAAATCGAAAAAGCAAAAAGCATTCCCAAACAAGTCCAACAAATAGTCCAAAAAGCGTCCCCACACTACTTGTTTTACTAGTTTGGGATCTTTTTCCTGTAGAGGGACAGGCCCGACTCAAGATTCGCCCCTCCCGCTCGTGGCCCCTCGTCGAGCCCAGCGCTCCCCTGTCTCGGCGGCGCGCAAAGCAGACAGTCCAGAGGCTCAGGACGCAGCCGGCCCTTGCGGAGCCACGGGCCCTGATAATTTCGCCGATGTGCCCGTTGACGACGCCGCGGCACCGCAGGTCCCGAACCTTTCCCCGGGGATTGTTCGGGCCCTGCGAGGCGGCCTGCCCCCTGGGGGCAGGCCCTCTCGGAGGGCGGCGGTGTTTTCCAGAAGCCTCCTGGCCTAGTGAGAACCGTCAGCAGATCACGAATCCCGTCCATGTCTATCCAACCATATACAGCTACACACACCTATTGTTATGTATGCCTGTACATGAATATGTGTATATATGCATATATATATATATATATATATATATATATATATGAGTGTCAGAGTGTGTGTGTGTGTGTGTGTGTGAAAGTGTGTGTATGTGCGGAGGTGCGTGTGCGTGAGCGTGTTCGTGTGCGTGTGCGATCGTGTGCGTGTGCGCGTGCGTGTGCGTCTGTGCGTATGTGTGTGCGTGTGCATTTGATGGTCCTGGGGCCCGGAAGTGGCCCTGGATGGTCGAGAGCTGTGAAACAAATAGTCCGCTGCTGGATCGTATCGTCGGAGATTTGGTGAGGGCTTCTCGGAAGGCCAAGGGGCTTCCGAAAAACATCGCCGCCTCCCGAGAAGGCCTGCCCCCAGGGGGCAGGCCGCCTCGCAGGGCCTTAAAAACCAAACGACGATGATCATTGGGGGAGGGGCAGCCCCCCTCACTCATTGGCTTGCGGGCCATGATTCGGGTCTCCTGCGGCCGCTCGGGACAACCCAGTCACTCCCGGACACCCGTCGGCGAGGCCGCAGCTGCTGGAACGCACTCCGAGGCCGGAGAAACCCGCCGAGCGCCGACGCACACGCCCGAACACCTCGAGCCTCGAACCCGAAACTCCCAACCCGAAAACCTCGAACCTCGAACCCGAAAACCGACCTTGAACCCGAAAACCTCGAACCTCGAACCTCGACCTCGAAGACCTAGAACCTCGAGCCCGAAGCTCCCAAACGCCCCCCCCCCGGCGCGCCGCCGAAGCTGAGCACGGAACCCG